TAGTAGCTATAATACAAACAGACCGACAAACAGACGTACATTTGTGGTTCATATATAGTAAGAATTTACGAGATCGTTGGCTATTCTGTTGTTTCTCCATGCATAATATCACTCGATAGGCAGTCCGTTGCCGCCAAAAAGCTGGTAGAATTGATTGATGGAGTATAGGTGTTTGTTCAAATGGAAATGGAAAAAGAAAAAAAAACTAAAATACATATTATTGTTCCTCCCCCATTCCCTACCTTAGCAGATGGAATGAAGTTTTTGTTGATAATTTGAAACAAGCTGAAACGGAAGGCTTGATCGAAAACATCTAGAAGGCATATGCTGAAGCTCTCTCAGGGATTTCTGCTGGTGCTTCTCAAGCTGTTTCCTGGTTCAGTGCATGCCTAAGCCCTATGGTGTTTGTTGTAATTTTGTCTTCACTGTAAATAGCTAATCCGAATATAGCGAAAGAAGCCAGTAGCGTCTGGTTTCGGCATTGTTTCAGCAGAGTAACTGAATTTATATCCGGTGAATCTCCGTTCAGAAAATAGCAAATGTTTGGGGCCGCTCCCAGTTCCAGAACGCACAATCGGCTCTACAAACTATTGTTTCGATGCAAACGTATGCATCAGGTAACAATCCTAACCCTTCCATTACTGCAATCATGAAAACCTTTGTTTGGCAGCCTGTGAGATCCATCCGGAAAGAATTGCAGTTTCAAAGATCTAAAAGTCACAAAATTCTGCAGATGAAGTCGTCTCAACTTCCATATTATCCTAGGTTAGAGAAGGTTTTACATTGTGGGTTTTTAAAAGTTGGCTCACGTCGAAGGGTACACTTGATGAAGGAGGGGAAACTCGATGCAAAATGTGACGGAGTAGTCCTGCGAGTTCAATGGAATGAATTGATCGGTACCAATTAACCCCATTAGAATGTACTAGCCATTTATCGCCTATCCAGACTCAGTGCATGACGACCTACAGGAAGAACGATGGGATAAGTCGGCCTGTCAAGTACTTCTTCCTTCTCAACCGCCATTATAGAAAGAACCTTGGAAAAAAAGGCTTCGCTTGGACTAGGCAAGCCATTTCAGGCATCTCACCTCACAATAGTGAAGGCGGTTTCGCATCTAACAGGATTTTTAGAATGAAGTTAAGTTGTTCTACAAAACATTATATTACTTCTTAGTTTTGGAAGATGTAACAGCCTAAAAAATATGAAATTAACGAGAAAAACACACCTCCAGAAATGACCGCTAAGAGATATGGAACGTGGAGATCACAGAGTGGACATAGTTTCTTCAGGTATCGTGTGCGTAAGACGTCATAAAGTCGGGTTTCCTTGGCTCTCAATCGAACTCGGCTACAGCCAAGCCAAACCAGCGTCATTGCATTGTACAAGGAACAGGACAACTGAAGCGAGCAAGTTGTTGACATAATAGAAAAGGCTCGGAAATGAGCTCCGTTTTAAATAGACTGGTCATTCAATGATGAACCGACTAAATAAGTCCGACATCCTTGAAGTAACCTACCCCATGGGTTTCCCTGTTCAAGACTGTGCATGCTGTTGCAGCGAGGGTGTCGGCGAACCGTAATTGTAACGAGTGGCTATTCACCTGAACAGTACCTATTACCAAGTACCACGCCAATCGAGCCACTTTCCAACTGCTGATTTGGTTATGTTTGAAGCTCGAAAAACACAAAAAACCTATCGTTCATTACAGCTCATGGTCAGTAGCAAACGGGCCTTCTATGAAACATAATTCCGATTCCACGAAGAAAACATATCGTCCCAAGTATTTGATAACTCTCTACGTAGGCAAGCTTACTATAAGTACTGTGTACCACCCTAAATAAATACCATCCTAAATATATATTTACATATTCCAACCGAAATATTAGGTTGAGTAAAAAGTTTTGATCGACTCTTCGTCCCTTTCTAGATTTTTCGTAGGACCGCTCGGAAAGACTTCTTAATGGGTTATGGTGGACCGATCCCTAACTTGTACTTTTACAGGGATATATAAGCATCCCCTTGTTAGTGCTTCGCAAAAAATCACTTGAACCTTCAACTGCCGTCCGAAGCTGTCTGAGAGCTATAGTCTATCACGAATTACTGTAAGGGCATAATCCACCGACGGCTGTCGCAAATATCTGTGGTGCATCGAGAAGAGTCATCGTATTTCAGCCTACGGGTGCCTCATGACGAAACACCTCCAAGCCTAGCAGAGAAGCGGACTATGCCCGAGGAAGGTTTTAATGTGTCGTCGGTGGACATTCTCAGGGAACGCTCTATTTTGGATAACTTACTAAGGGTTCCACCGTGACCGCCGAGGTTTACGCTCCTGAGCTACAGAGTTTGGCCGACGTTGTTCAAAGGAAGCGTCCGCAGCGTAAAAATGTTTGCCTTTTTCACGGCAGTGCTCGACCGCATGTTGCGGAATTGTTTTGTCAGTACATTGCCGAAGTTGGGAAGGAAGAGCTGCCCCATTCTTCTTATTCGCCAGGTCTCGCTTCATCTGATTACCCACTTGTTTCTTGCTCTGAATCATCGTCTTCGCGAAAGAAAACTTGATGATTGCTGAGAATTCAAAATGTAGATCTCCAGCTTTCTCGAACCGCGCGAATCACCGTTCTAGGCTACAGGTGTCAAGAAATTGCTCGATCGCTAGACGTATGTTTAGGACAACAATGGCATCTTTCATAGTCCACGACCAGTCGCGCGACTGGTCGCGGACCCATCTTGCGAGCGACTGGTCGTGGACTATGAAAGATGCCAATGGAGACTATACTACTAAGTGAGATCCTCTTTCAATGGAAATAAGACTTTTTAAAGTGAAGATTGAAAAATCGATCAAAACTTTTTACTCAACCTAATAAATTACCGAGTGGTCGCCACTCAGTTATCGCGCGGAGGAGTGCAGTCAAAAACTTTTGGAGACCACGTTTTATTTATTTATTTATTTTACTCATAAGGTGCGCCATTAGTAAACATAAAATCAGAAAATTTCATCGATGTAATTACAACCTTACAAATTAAATGGAACCCATTTGATTAAGATGGTATCCACTACAGACACTAGATGTCATATTTGCCTATAAATAACTTTGAAGTGGAAGAAAATAAAAGATTTTATGCTTTCATTGATGCCATTGGCGTTGTTGCCAATCCCACTTGTACAGTGATGGGCCCCTCTTTTTTCCTATCTGAGATGATATTGCTGCATATTGTTCATAAGGTTCTCAACAGAGACTTGAAACCAGATATTATTGCGTATGCTGTACTATTCTCTCTCAGTTTGAGGATGTCACGATTTTTGCTATAAGCCTGACTTGTCAGTAGAATTCCGTCAGACGCCGCATCAAAATTCTGTTGAAAGTGACCATCCATTTGTATCATAATGACTTCTTTAATTCCCAGCTTTTGAACATCACCGAATCAGGTTCTGATGATTCTATTAGATATAAACTCACATTCAAAGATAGATTAATCGCCAATGCACAGGCATACTCGGTTGCATACAGCGAGTTTCGAGATTCAAGAAAGTTCACAACCCATTCGAGCATTCCACACTGCAGCAACTCGCGCTGGCACGATTGCCTGAATAAGGAAATCAGAAAATGAACTAGTAAGGCAACTACATGCTTGTCGGTCGCTCTTTTCACACATCACTTGATTGGACGGTGGAATCCGGATGTACTCCACAGATTCTACCTGTCGATTAACGTGAACTGATACCATTGACCTCTTCTTATACCGTATCACATAGACAAAGCGGACCAGAAAGGAGCTCACATTTTTTCCATGAATTGTCAACAACCGGAGTGTCGAAAGACAGAGTTTTCTGTCCATATCAGGTTCAATAGAATTGAACTTCAAACCTCTCGTGAGAACAACTCAATCTGCTCACTCACTACCTAATTGCAGACTCACTGAAGTTAATGTATGAAGGGAAGTGATACTTCTCCACGAACGCGCCGTTCGGGGAGAAGCCACCTTACCACGTGTGAAGGACGTTGATTTTCAGCTTCAATTCTGTCATTACCGAGTAGGTCTGCCATTTTACCACGTATAAGTCCTCGCCGTGCCTAATGATTCGAACCATCTTATAGTTTTGATCATAAGAAGGGAATTGAAACCCCCCAAATTCTCAAATTCTTCGAATACTATGTCTGACAAAGTGACAGGAGTAGAGATTCCGATCAGTCCAAATAAAAGGTCGAAATGGATTTTGATTTCCCCACCAGGATGAATCTGTAAACCCCCAAAGAAATAATGAAGGATGCTTTCGGGTCAAAAAGCGGCCTAAATGGGGTGTAATAAGAGCCCCGAGTCGGGCTCAGCCGACTCACACACCCAAAGGCTACGAGTTCTCATGACGTTGCGCAATTCACACCGGGACGTTGCACGCAGGCAGCTTACTTTGACCAGCTGTAGCAACAGCACACACATTCGGATAACTCGTCCAAAACCCACTTCATGCAAGCTTTGTCGTTACGTTCTCGTCTAGCCTCTGAACTTATACTCTTTCGAGCCTAGAGTATCCTGAATGCGCCGATTTTCGCGTTTTCTTCGCCACATCCGTAATAACTTGAATTACCACTCCCAATAATTGTATAAAACCAGATAAACGAAAATAAATGTGAACTCTACCTTTGATCAATCTATTCCTCTTCTATACCTCTCTTTCATTCTGTAAAGTCTACCTTATCCTTACTTTCAATGTTCCAGTTCCTTTTTTACACTTCTGGCTTTACCAGACTCGTTATACAACAATTTTGGAACTTTCCTTTATTTCTGCACTACAAACGTACCGTACGCTAGCTTTTTGAAGAGAGGCGATCAGTTGCTCCTGGGTTGATGATGGCAGTCGACGTCCACGAAGCACAGGCACAACAGTGGACAGAAATAATCGCAGATGATCTGAACATTTACGAATAAGTTTGAAGGAAAAGTCTTACAATACTCGCATTACATAATAAACGCCGCCAACATTGTCTAACGTACCATAAAGTCTATTATCATAGGCTTGCTCTTTTTTAGGCCTTTTGGTAGTAACCACATCCACAAGGAGCATCAAACGCTCTGGTTTCAAGAGAAGAGCGACTAAGTTTCCGGCCGAACAACACGCATACACACCGACACACTTCGCCCCACCTTCTGCTGACCGTGCCACAAGTATTCCCATCTTCCCACCTAAACTCCTACCGAACTTGATTGTTCTAGGTTGAGATTGCTAATATGGCCTGCGGCCGGGGTGCGGACCAGCTTCCAACAATAAGTGTAATCATCCTGCCTCCTGTACTCCTGCCGAATTCGAATGCTCCAGTTTTACAGGAATGGGTACTATGAATTTCAGGTCCGACATGCACACACATACACACCCATACACAGACAAACCAACAGACACACTTGTCGCGTTACCTCAATTTATTTTACAGTTCTTTTTTCTATGACTTTCAATTTATAAGGAAAACATCTTACTGGTGAAATATTCTCTTCCAGCGGGAAAACTGACGATGGTGTTAATCAAACGAGCCATTTGATCTCGTGAATCCACGACGTCAGCTTGAAGAATACGGACGAACAAGGACTAAAGACAAAAAATTACCCCAAAATTGAGAAACTGACAAGTATGATCAACCAAAACCCTTTGTTTTGGAGAAATCAAAATTGTGCGCTCGGTTGTTGATCAAGTAATGTGGTTGTGGTAGCGTTGGGTCTGGATCTTCTCCCCGAACGACGTGTCGTGCACGCCGCACGCCATCGCGCGCGGCGTGCAAGGGAAGGGAAAGAATCCCATGAAGGGAAAGATTTGAATTCTCAGTGGAAGGACATGGAGAGTCGTCGCGTAACCACTGCCGCAGGCCGTCGGAATTCGGGGAGAAGTTCCGTCACGCGGTAGCGTTTGATTAGAAATGGTGGAAGAGCCATAAGGAATGGCATATAAATAGTTGCTCTGGGTCATCGCCGCCGCTGATCGCTTAGTATGAGTGAACCCTGCGTGACGAGCGACGTTAACGTCCATCTTTTTTTTCAGTTAGCACTGGATATAGTGATTATGAACGGTTATGCGTTTTCTGTAGTGGTCGACATTACGTAACAATAGACGAAAGGCACTGAATAGGGCATGGTGAGAATGACGATAATAAGGTTTGTCGCCAGTGTGTATTTTATTTTTGGGTAGAGAGTGAGGTAGAGGGTAGGGGGAAAGATAACAAATAATTGATGATAACAATTTAGTTGAACGACAATTGAGGATGAATTCTTTCAGCATTGATCACTACAGTATTGAAATGAGGCCATCGACTTTCATTCGGGGCTCTATTGGCTTTATGAATGCGAATGTGACTTTTTCAATGAATTCGGTTAGCCACCGAAGTCAGTGCTTTTACCATCCCATAAGGAGTCTGGTACCAATCGGCCGACCTAGGAGGAGTTTAGGGTTGGTTTACCTGAGCAAATACTCATTCAGGATACGATCCCAGGACAAAGCGAATGGTGAATTGTGAAATGAGTGTTTTACTTGTCGTCACCAGTGTAACATTGTTCAATAGTTGGTACGTCCATTACATACTTCTGAACCTGCAATCAGCTTCTCCATAATTTTTTTGGCTATTATCGTGCAAATTTTTACAATGTCAGAAGGTATGTATATGGTACACCCATGTGCAGTTTGCACGTGTAGTAAGAGATTTCTGAGGTAGGTCATCTCGGAGAGAGCAGGGGAACAACAATGAAAAACTGGCATTATCAATGGGAAGTTTCAATTTGGCTTATGGAATGGGCCGCCAAAGTATCAGATAGTGGAAGATGAAAGGATAAACATTGATGTCTATGAAAGGAGGTCATTAGAATGATTAGAAAGCACACTGCCGAGGAAATAACCGTCAAGAGCTAGCAATCAGATCATGTTCACTTACGGTAGAGCAGTCGCATGCACAAAAGACTCCCTCAGTTACAAAAAGCTTACCTGTTTTCTGGCCTTCAGAAGCAGCACATCGTTGTCGATAATCCAAGACAGAGCCTTTTTTGAATAGCTTGGTGAGGCAGCAACACTGACTTGCTGAAATTTCCTTGGTTACCTCCATTTCAGTGTAATTTCCTTCAGCAAGTCTGCAGTAATAGCGATTGTAGGATGCTTACAACACGTATAGTGAGCTAACTGCCCAGGGAAGCGCACGTTCCGCGCGTCCATCTAAACGAGATCACCCCGCCCACTTCGCGCGCGGCGTAGCCCACTGCGATCTCGAGATGACATTACAGTACCATTAGTGTCAGTGGAGCGAACGATTTGCTTTAGTCCGTGTTATGTTCTTTTCAAGCTGACTGCATGTTGCGAGCTGATCGAACGCAATCTCGCCGACAACTGCGACGATTGTCAAAAATCGCGGGCTGACGCACCGCGTGCGACAGCTGCGGCACGGTGGCCTTGTTTCGACGGATGCGCGAAACGAAGCGCACCCAGTCGCGCGAGCGCAAACACACTAAAGCACTACGGGTGTCGAAAACACTTGTCACTCGGAACAGAATAAGAGAAAAGGGCTCCGAGTGAGTTTTCATAAATGCACAGGATCCTATGGACTGGTGTTTTGATCCGGCACATTCCTTTTAAAAAAAAGAACCTGGCGAAGGGCCTGGAGAAGGAGAGCGGTGCCACGACCAGCTGGCAGTCCACAGAGGGCCGACGAGAGTTTGCTGGGATCGATATCGTTGAGAAGGCATCGATCGCATCGATCCCTAAAAAGTGAAAGTTGATTGTAGATGACAATCTTAAAACCCACCATCATTTACTTATCAGTTTCGCTATAGCTTTGCCTATCAGCTCTAACGAACCCTTTCACTTCCACTCATCACACTTCTAAAAACTTGCAGTGGAAGCAGTAAAAAGGAGCCTGATTCAGAGAAACAGAATAGGTTAAAGACGAGCGCCCTGAATCGGAAAAGGTGTAAAAAGGAACAGCTTTTCTCCGCAAGTTTGCTATTCTACCTTCTGAACGATGAAAAGTCTTATGAGTCATAAATGATACAGGAACAATATAAACGGGAATTGAAGTTTCCCAAGAAAGTTCCAAGAGTGGCGTATTACTCGAGTAATCTATCAGAGATCGTATATTCTGCAATACTCACGGAATAACTTCTTGTTTCGTTGGAGCAACGGTGGATGAGGTCGGATCGGGCGGGATTTCGTCGACCACATGCGGGCACATGCATTCTGAATTGTCATTCGTCATTAATGAAGTTAAACGAATTCATTTTTCTATGAAACCAACATTGAACGTATAAGAAGGAGTCATCTCGAAATTTCAACCTGCATTCTGTCCCTGACCCTCAACATAAACACCTCCACACCATGCACTGAATGGTATTGCGTCATTTAGGTTACCTAGTCAAAATTAGCCCTTCATTACTCCTTGACTTCATACTGTGTATGGCTTGATGATTAATCCGTTCCAAGATTTCACCATATCGAAGCGCTTCAGTGAAAGAGTCACAAGTTTACACTGTAAGACTCCGATTGAATCTCGGGGTACAAGGCAGCGAGTACTGGGGACGTGCACTATGATCGTCTGAGGACGCGCGCGGCAAATCGCGCGACGAAGTTCGCGACGGTTTATACGGCTCTGGCGCCAATTTTTGGGGCACAAACTCGAAGTAGTGTGGTTTATTAAGGTCAAATAATCCTTCTAATCTACTCTACTTCAAGTTTGGGCCGTTCAACTCATTACGACTTCGCCACGCACTTTGGCGCGCGCATCATCGGGCACATATAAGTCCACATACACACGAAAACTCGTGAAAAATCTGTGATTCTGCGTTCGGGTTCTTCCAATATAAAAAGCCAGAAGAACTGAAGGCAGAAATGTTACTTCGACATATCATGCCTCTGAAACTCCAAAAAAAGGAAACATCAGAGAAACATTTTCCGAAAAAGTTTCCGTTGGAGACGGATGGTGTACTGTGTAGCCTAATTTCCATTGCCGCAAGCGTCTTGCACCGGTCGTGGTGCAGTAGGAAAGAAAATGTCGCGACGCGGCGAGAGAGACGTCGAAGGAATGTAGCAAAATGCAGCAGCAAGTAAGAAAAACAGGAACAAAAGTTAGAATTATGCCAAAAGTAAAAATCGCATAGGGACTGAGCTGTATGATATGATGTAGGCAAATGATCCGCGACAGCCGCGTGCGGCGGATCGATTGTACAAAACCCTCCTACTGCCCGTCTCCCCCCTGCACCAATTACCATATCTATTCAAAATCATAATATTGATTATTCATATTATTCACTACAAATTACCATATTTATTCGCTACGCTTGCACTGCGCGCTTCGACGCGAGGTGGGTGTGGTAGGCGCGGCACGCCGTTTGGGAAGTGATGTCCGGGTGGGCTTCGTCCCACGCGTCCGTCGGAATTAGGAGCCGTCGCGCAAAAGTTGCGTTTTTTGACGGATGTCGCAGCTCTTAGTAAGCGTGCGGTTTACGCTTGTTTCGCGGCAGTGTAAAATAATGTCAACGCTGTTGCAGAGATCAGATGAATCACTTGGAGCAACTAATCAGCTTGATTCGATTCCATCAGGCTGGAATGACCATCAAAGCCAGCGAGTTAGCATCTGTTAACCGGGAGATGTGTTGACCTCACCTCGACTTGCAATTCTTTCAAAGCCTTGAAAAGTGTTCTTTCTTTTAGAGCCGACGATTTCGGGTGGATGTGTTAGAAGATCGGCTCGTTCTTTGAAAAAGAGATTATAAAAAGAGAGTCGGGTAGATTATAAGGTAAGGAAGAAGATCTCCTAGAAAGCGAAGATGGTGTCCCTATACCTAGTTTTAGAGAAGGTTATCTACTAGTGGAGTTGGGGTAGTTAGAAAACAATGAAACACCTTCACTATGAGTTGTTATCTGTAATTGAGACAATTTCTTTGGATGAATACTGTTCACAGATAAGTGAATTAAAGCGAGCAATCAATCAGAAATGGTATGAATTAGGAAACAGACTGAGAAAGGCAATGGTCGACCACACCTGTTCCAGTGGGATTCTGTTCCAAGGTCAACCTCTGCATTGTTCGAAAGTTCTTTTTTATGCTCTTCAGATGCACAGTTCACGATGCTCGTGGGATACATATTTCAAATCAAATAATGGTGCAGAACAGTTCATAGTTGGAGGAGGCAGCGCGGAATCCGTGAAACTAAGGGCTCGGGTAGTACAAGATCACCATGACGGGAATGGTTGATTACCTTATTTGAACTAGATTACAGTTTGTGCAAATGCGTGAAGAGCTGGCTACAGTAACGCAAAGATAACCTCCTGTTTGTCACCGTGAGTCACGACTGGCTGTAGGAATTGTCAACATGTGTGCTCCATTGTTAATATTGCAGTCTCTCCAACTGCTCTAAAACACACCCACTCCTGGGTATGGGCCTCGGCCGCTCTTTGAGCCCTTAGTGCGCCCTATCTACTCAATTTTTCGGCTTGACAGCGCTCATGTCGCATACTTATGCTACGGATTCGTCCTGGTTGGAAATACTGGAGACCATTTTCACAGTGAAATGCCCCTTTAGGTTTTTGATTTCTCGTCTTTTGT